AATAAATAAATAAATAAATAAAGGTCCTTCTGATTACCGCGGGAACAAGAGATGTAGGGGTAAGTGTGGGAGCCCCCACAGCCCTGCACAGGAGGCACCACTGGTGACCCTCCTGGCGGGACATGTTGGGGGACTGGCTTGAGCGAGTCAGGTGACTTTCATAAACCAGGGAGCAGGTCTGTGGGCTCCTGCGCAGGCCTGGGAAGGCGGGATGGGGGCGGGGCGGGGAACCACACATAGGCCTGGGAGGTGGGTGACCCCGCTGGACAAGAGCTGGGGTGCAGCCGGGCCTGGGAATCCCACAACCCAACCACTTAAGCGGGTACAGTAGCTTGTCCCTAAACCACACCCTGTGGGCATCTTTAGTAGGGGGTTGGCAGCAAAAGGGTGCTCTGAATTCATAGCAAAAACTCCCAGAATGCTGGTTGGCTTCACGGGGTCAGGCACTGTGCCTTCCAGTGGTCGCCTCGTTTACTGCTCACGACAATCCCCGGGGCAGGTACTGTTATCATCCCCATTTCATGGATTAGGGAACTGAGGCCTAGAGAGCTTGCTCAAAGTCAGTCAGGAAGAAGACAACCCAGGACTTGAACCAGGGGCATGGGAGTAGAAAGCCTAGACGCTAAAACCACCCTGCTGTCTGCCTCTGAGAGAGGGCGAGGCCGATCCGGATGCCGGCTCACTCAGGCACGGGGCAGGCACGGGGCGGCTCACTGCGATTCACATCTGGCTCTGTCCTGCGCGAGGCTAGTTCACCTGCGTTCTCGCAGTGGCACCTGCTGAGGTGTTCTGCAACGTTCGTGCCGCCGAAGCACTGGACTGCCCTCCCCCTCACAAACGTGTCCGGGCGCGGCACAGGCTGGTGGCCCTCCCAGGCCCGGATTCAAATCCTGCTCTGAAAGCCTCTCGGAGGCCCCTGGGAAAAGTCCTTAATCTCCCAGGGCTTCCTCCGTGACGTGGAGTAAGGACGGCGCCCAGCGCACCGGGTGATAGCGGGGCCCGCGGGCGCGGCGGCAGCGACTGTCACACCCTCCTTCCTCCTGAGGCAGGAACGCCCTTGCAGTTGGCTGGCCGCGAGGCTCTCTGACCCTCTACTCGGGGCTAATTTCATGGCTGAGTGTCCGCTCTAACTGCAGCTCTTTGTTTGGTGCTGTTAGGTGATTTTCCCAGGCGGGAGAGCCGCCAGGCTCCTTGCATGGCTGTCCCCGCTCAGTGCAGCCTTTGGCGTGGCCTTGTATCCACTTTGCAAGCTGCCTGCTCCTTTGACCTCTTTCCCCTGAGGTCAGAGGTCAGCAAACAGTTCTCTGAGGCGGTACTTCCGACTTGTTCGCATCATGACACACACGTGTGGGCGGCCTCCTGGGGCAAGCGGACCAGGCTGACCGAGGCTGGCCAGGCCTTGCCGGCTGCAGCGCCCCTGGGCCCTGGCGCCTGCTTGGGGCCGAGGGGACCTAGAACCCATTCCAGGCACGCGAGTGGGCAGTGCGCTCTAAGGGGCCCCTGGTGGCCGAGCCACATGGGGGACAGGTGGCTGTGCTGCCTCCCTCCGAAGGTCCCCTCATTGTGCTTGCTGAGTTCTATCCTCGCAGGGTCCTGGCACGACCGACCTTCGGGAACTTCTCGTTTTTGGAGGGAAGGAATAATTTCCAGAGAGTGTTCTAGGAAGACCATTTTCCCGGGAAGCAACGGGGCTCTGTCTCGTGTGACAGTGACAGTAGGCTTCTAATTAGAGCCACGTACATTCCTGGTTTTTTTTTTTGTTTTTTTTTGAGACAAGAGTCTCACTTTGTTGTCCAGGCTAGAGTGAGTGCCGTGGCATCAGCCTAGCTCACAGCAACCTCAAACTCCTGGGCTCAAGTGATCCTCCTGCCTCAGCCTCCCGAGTAGCTGGGACTACAGGCATGCGCCACCATGCCCGGCTAAATTTTTGTATATATATTTTTAGTTGGCCAATTAATTTCTTTTCTATTTTTAGTAGAGATGGGGTCTCGCTCTTGCTCAGGCTGGTTTCGAACTCCTGACCTTGAGCAATCCGCCCTCCTCAGCCTCCCAGAGAGCTAGGATTACAGGTGTGAGCCACCGCACCCGGCCAGCGCCACATACATTCCTTTTACGGGAAACAGACTCTGCAGCCCCCACCCCAATGCTGATGTGAGTTACTTTTGTGTTGTTATGTATATATTCCTTCTTATTGCGCCTATGCAATCATCAATCCAAGATGATAACAGGTAACACAGGATTAAAAGAGTAAAACTACATAGAAAAGTACACATAAAGCAATCTCGCATCTGCCTCTGTCCCTTCTGTGTAGTCTCTTCCACACCCAAGTACCAACTTTTATAGGATCTGATTTATCCTTCCATTTTTTTTTGCAAATATATATATATATATACACACACACAGACATTTTTCTCTATTTTTATACTCCCTTTATCAAAAGATAACATTAAAATTTTCTTCACTTAGCAATACATCTATACATCAGAAAACTGTAATAATAAATATAAACAAAACTAAGAAAACTACAAACCCAGTGAAATTCAAAGTAACAAGATCAGTTTAATGGGAAGGATGATGCAGTTTGGAACCAAACTGCAGCTTTTAGCACCATGGGGCTGACCAGTGAGATCGGATCTCCAATGAGTTTGATACACGTATGATGCTGCCATGTGCAGGGAGTGACTCAATTCTCCCCCACTTTTCTCTGTTTGAATTACTGCAATACTTCTGTTTGCACAGTGGGCTGTTACATCATTTGGCCTTCACTTGGCTTCAACGCATCATTTACGCATTAAATCCGCCTCTGTTCCTTTCTTGTTAGCCAGCAGCAATTAAAAAGGACTGCTTGATGCCAACACAATCATAAACACAAATGCAAACTTGGGCAGTGAAATCCTGTGTCAACAATAACTTGTAAGGTGGTCAAGCTGAGAGTAATGATAATGAGAGTGACTGTCATGGCTAACTTGCTATGCGCTAGCACCAAGCTAAATGCTTTATGTGCAAGGCCTTATAGAATCTTCCCAACAACCCTGTAAAATAAGCACTACCCATGTTACAGATAAGAACATTTAGTCTTAGAGCGCTTCAATAAGGTGCTCAAGGTCACATGTTTAGGAAGGGGTAGGAGTCAGAATTTGAACCCGTATCTATCTGACCTCAGGGACCACCAAGAGTTGCTGGTGGGGGTAGGGAGGGACCTTACTGTGCTCTTGCTATCAGTTTGTGGCCATAACTGCTCACCGTGGCCAGGCCCTGCTGGGCGGGGCTGGGCAGGGTATATGGGGCCTGGGGCAGAGAGTGGAAGGGGAACGTGGTGGTCACAGTCCCTGTTGGGGACCGAGGGGCCCTCTCCCTGGAGTTGTGGGCCAAAGTGCGCCAAACCTGGCCAGGTGACCCTGATTCCTCTTGCCCAATATCAAAGTGAATAAACACGCACCTGCCAACAATACCATTTGGAAGATAGTGATCTGTGTCCGTGACTGTAACAATGACACTCTGTCAGGTCCTGGCAAACAACTAAGAGTTCTGTGTGTTCCCGGCCCTGGCTGGCCACGCTGGGCTGGGGCTGGGCCGTGCTCCAGATGAAAGCGCACACTTGTGGCCCTTGTCCCCCTGCGGCCTTCCACCCTGCTCCCGCCCGCCCTGCCTCGCTTCGGCCCCCGCCTCCTCTCCTGGCACTGCCGTTTGCTCACTCCCTGTCCAGGGCCTGTCTTTACTCCTTGTTGGAGCCTGAACCTGTAGCTCCAAGTCCAGGAGCGAGACAGGGCGGTCAGGCCGGCCTGGAGCCGGAGGCCTCAGCTCAAGGTAGTTACCGAGTCCCGGAGCACGTTTGGGCTTCACCTGGTTCCCGGGCGCAGACGTGTTAATACTTCCAGTCTGAAGAGGAGGACCTGCTGGTGCCCTGTGGGAGCTGGCTGCCACCCTCCTTAACGGCCGCCCCCATGCTGGGGTTTGGCCTTCAAGCATCAGGACAGTGAGGCCCACCAGGCTGCTGGGGGCCAACTCACACCGAGGTTTATGTGATAAAGGCCGGGCGCTCTCCCACGCCCGCCACAGCCCCCTCCTGGTGAAGAGCCCCAGGGGAGGCACACACAGTCCTAAGCCAGCAGCAGGGGTGGCCCCATTCTGTCCCTGCCCCTTCCTCAGGTCCAGGCCTGGGAACAGGAGCACCTTTCCCCGTCCCCACCAGGCCCCAGGCAGCCAGGCCCTGTCTGTCGAACCTCTCACCCCACACGGCAATTTGGGTTCCATTTTCCTAGATCAATACACTTGGTTGTAAAAGCTAACAGCTCTGGCCCTTTGGTTGCAGGTGCCGAGCCAGGTACTATCCGGGCCCAGCTATGGGTTCCGCCGTGCGGTTCCCAGTACAGCCCTCACTCAGCTCACGTGATGGGACTTGGGTGTTCCCAATCTTTCTTCTGGGTTTGAGTTTCTACTAGAATTCATCCGTTTCCTATTTTTAAAATGTGGTTTCATGCATCACAAAAGACACACATACGTAAGCTCCACCGGCCCCACCCCTGTGCCTGCCTCCTCTCCTGACATAATCCATCACCCGGCTCTTCTGCCTGGCCACACTGGCCTCTCCGTGTTATTCCATCCCTCACTGCACTCCCTCCACAGGGGTCTGGCACAGCCGCATGGCCGGGACCACTCCACCATGACACCCACTTGCCTTTTTGGGACTGTTTTTTTTTTTTTTTTTCTTTTTTTGAAACAGAGTCTCGCTTTGTTGCCCAGGCTAGAGTGAGTGCTGTGGCGTCAGCCTAGCTCACAGCAACCTCAATCTCCTGGGCTCAAGCAATCCTCCTGCCTCAGTCTCCCAAGTAGCTGGGACTACAGGCCTGCGCCACCATGCCTGGCTAATTTTTTTCTATATATATTAGTTGTCCAATTAATTTCTTTCTATTTTTAGTAGAGACAGGGTCTTGCTCAGGCTGGTTTTGAACTCCTGACCTCCAGCTATCTGCTCGCCTCAGCCTCCCAGAGTGCTAGGATTACAGGCGTGAGCCACTGCGCCTGGCCTGGGACTGTTCTTGAATGTCACCTTTGCTGACTACGACATGTTAAAATGCAAACCACATTCCCCACCCCCTTCCTTGCTTCATTTTTCACCGCTGCACTTTTCGCCGTTGGACGTACTCCGTATTCTTGCTTGCTTGCCTTCTTTCCCCCCGGAATGTCAGGGCTGTGCAGTGGGCTGGGGTTTCTGTCTGGTTTGCTCACTGCTGTGTCTCCAAGGGCTAGAAAAGTGCCTGGCGCCTAGTAGGTGCTACGTCAGTGTTTGTTGAATGAATGATTTCACTATAGAAAACTTGAATATACGTAAAAACACAAAAAGGAGATAAAAGACGCCTAGAACCTCTATCCCTTCAACTGAGCTCCCTGTCTCTGGAGGCATTCAAGCGGAAGCTGAGCGGCCACATGGGGAGGGGTTGTAGAAAGGGCCTGTGCACCAGGCAGAGGGAGGATTATGGGGCCTCCAGTGTTCCTGCTCTCAGGGAAATTCAGGATCCTGCAAAATACTTCCTTTCCTCCCCCGAGACTTTAGGAGCCCCTGACTCTTCCCAGCACCGGGCTTTTCCTCGGCCCCCAGCCCTGGTCGGAGCCCCCAGCCCAGGAGGCCTGGGAAACAGGGCGGGGTGGAATCACCTACCGGCCACACAGGACTCTCCGGGGTGAAACGCAGCAGAGACCGGCTCAGGGTTAGCAAACAGTGACAAAGGTCGGGTGAAGCCAGTCTGGACACCCACTGGCCCGGGCTGATCTGAGGAATGTCAGGCAGTCCCCATATCCTCAAATGTGTCCCATCCACCTGCCACAATGTCTGGAATGCCACCCCTACAGGGACTTCCGTTCCTGCTTTTAAGATGCAGTCTTTTTTATTTTTTTTAGAGAAAAGTTCTTGCTGTGTCACCCAGGCTGGAGAAGACGCTCTCTTCAGAGGGTCAGGTGATTCATCATTGCAGCCCCATGAACCAGGTCAGAATTTGCATGTCATCCCGGGCAACGGGGGCATTTCCAGGGCCGCTGCCGGGAACGGAGGCAGACCGAGACCGCTGCGCTCCACGACCCACCGGAGTACCCAGAACTGAAGGCCTCAGGAAGACAGTCGTGACCTCATGCATGCACCCCCGTGCAGGAGTGCGGCCAGGTATCTGGGGCAGGAAGTGGCTATGAGAAGGAAGAACCAATGCAAAAATCGTCTTATAACAGCTGCATGCTTTCTCCAAGGGCTCAGTCTTCACAGAAATGGGTTATTAGGACACGTCACCTATGGGTAGCATTTGGGGAACTCCTTGAGGGTCACTTGGGGGTTCATGGTTATGGGAAACACACAGCACACGAGCCACCACTGATTTGCCCTCGGCCCTGGCAGACATTGGTAATCCATCTTCCCACAGCGTTCCAAATAGTCACTGCTAATCTATCAGAATTTTTTTTTTTTTGAGACAGAGTCTCGCTTTGCTGCCCAGGCTAGAGTGAGTGCCGGGCGTCAGCCTAACTCACAGCAACCTCAAACTCCTGGGCTCAAGCGATCCTTTTGCCTCAGCCTTCCAAGTAGCTGGGACTACAGGCATGCGCCACCGTGCCCGGCTAATTTTTTCTGTATATATTCGTTGGCCAATTAATTTATTTCTATTTATAGTAGAGATGGGGTCTTGCTCTTGCTCAGGCTGGTCTCGAACTCCTGACCTTGAGTGATCCTCCTGCCTTGGCCTCCCAGAGTGCTAGGATTGCAGGCACTAATCTATTAGAGTTCGCACATATGGTAAACCTCATGCTATTAAGAGCCATCCCTGAGGGTGGGGCAAAAGAAATGTGTCTTCACCATCCTGGCCCTTCAGGAATCACAGGGTTAGGATTTCACGGAAGAGGAGACTGACTGGCACTCAGGGAGGGAAGGAGGCCTAGCCAAGGTCACACAGGGCATTAGGGGAAAGGCAGGTATAGACCTCTGGTCATCCCACCTCTGGCCCGGAAGACAGTCTGGCACTGTCACCTGTGACTGGACAGTTGGTCCAACAGACAGAGCACACGTCTCTGCCGCCATGCCCACATGCCCACATGCCCAGTGGAAGAAGCCATTCTAGCCCCACATGTCAACAAGTATAAAGTGTTCGGTCCCAGGGTGCTTGGAATGACTTTATAAAACTTAGACTTTCTGGGCTCCACGGGTCAGCTGGGAAGCTGTGGGCAGACGTTGGGGAGGCCCCGTGCCTGGGACGTGGCTGCTGATCTGATGGGTCCATTTGAGCCTTTGCCCCTGGCCCATGTCCAGGGCAAACTCTGTGGTGCCCTGAGACAGAGGCAGCTGGGCCTGGCCCAGCAGGACAAGCCTTGCCTTAGGACGGGCCCTACTCTGGACAGGTCACCTCTACTCTCTCGGCCTCAGATGCCTGAACCCTCAATAAGGAAGTTGACGTGTGGCTTAACTTCGCAGTGGCTCGGTTTCTTCATCCATTAAATGGGGATAATGATACCTCCCCTGCTGAGGTGTCGCAAGAATGGGATGAACTAATGCTATGAAATGCTTGGCATGGTGCCCTGCACACAGCAGGTGCTCAGGGAGGACAGCTGGGATTCTGACCTGGCCTGGGGACTTTTCCAGCTCTTAGAGCCCAGCCTGTGACCCAAACCTTCCTGTGGGAACCGCCCACCCCATGTCAATTTTATTGTTTTCAAAGCTGAGATACCTTAGGGTGGGTGCGGTGGCTCACCCAGCACTTTGGGAGGCTGAGGCAGGAGGATCGCTTGAGGCCAGGAGGTCGAGAGCAGCCTGGGCAACATAGCAAGATCCTATCTCTACAAAAAATAAAAAAATTAGCTGGGCATGGAGGCACATATTTATAGTCCCATCTACTAAGCAGGCTGAGGCAGGAGGATTGCTTGAGCCCAGGAGTCTGAGGATGCAGTGAGCTGTGATGATGCCACGACACCACACTCCAGCCTGGATGACAGAGCAAGATCCCATCTCTGAAAAGAGAAAAGGAAGGAAGGAAGAAGGGGAGGGAGGCAGTGAGGGAGGAAGATGCCTTGGGGAAGGTCAGAGGGTTAGAAATTTGGTTTCTGCTGAATTTGGAGGAGAAGGGCAAGAGAGATGAAGTGTTCTCTTTTTCTGAGAAGCAGCCCAGAAATTGCCAGACAGTTGCCCACTGGTGCCATGTTCTGCTGTGTGCATGTTACTGTGTGTGCGTGAGACAGACGGACAGACAGGGCCCCTCCCCTTCACGGAGGGGATTCCCAGTGTGGTTGGGGACCGTGGTGGGTGGATCAGGAGAGGCGCGTACCTGCCCGGCTCTGCCTTCCTGGGGCGGTTCCCTGAGTCCACGGCCCCTGGCGCGCCCCACGTCACACAGGTGGCACTGGTAAGAGGACAGAGCGGGCACTGGGTGGGAGGAGGAAGAGTGGGTTTGCTTGGTTACTCGTATTTTGAAACAAGAAAACGGCCCATTATGCAGAATTAAAAGCAGCAGCTGGTTATAAAATGGTGTGATAAATGAAGTTTATACACACCCCGAAGCAAAGACCGGCTGGAAACACCCCTCGACTGAGAGCCGTGTTTTGAGGCGCTAGGCTTGGGGCTGCACGTTTATTTTCTTCTTTGTGCCTTTCAAACTCGGACAGTGAACAGGATCTGCTTTCATTGTCAGAACAGCAGCGACGACAAACACGTTTACACAGGGCAAATGAATCCCAGGGTTCGGGCAGCCACGGGTGGTGACCCTGAAGCAGGGGTGGGCCAGGCCCACCTCTCAGGAAGGGCGAGAGCCGGGTCTCTGTCCCTCAGGCTGGGGACTCCTCCTCTCTCTTGCCTGGGGGTTGGGTCCAGACCCCTCCTGTCGCCCCAGACAGAGGCCGTGAGCCGCCTCGCTGGCCCCCAGAGGAGCCCTGACCTGGGCACACGCCCACGGGGCGGCTGGCTCCCTGCTGGGAACTGGGCCAGGCAGCCGCAGGACGACTTGTCCCCACATCCTTTCACCTGCCCGCACAGCACAGCGTGCGCTGCTGAGTCAGGATCCCCCTGCGCAGCCGCAGCGGGTGTGGTGTGACTCGCCGGGCAGCCCCCAAGGGCCAGGCCGGCTTCAAAGAGAGGCAGGGAGCACAGAGGAGAGCAGGGCGGCAGCAGGGACATTCTGTCCACGCCTGTGTCCCCCCTGGGGACTGTGGGTCACTCTTTGTGGTCTCCTCTCAGACCTTGCCTCGGTTCTCTGGCCCACGGATGCTCTGGTCTCGGAGCGCCCCTTAGGGCACCCTTCGGGGCTCCAACGCGCCCTCCAGCCAGGCCCTGGCCTGAGCCCTCCCCCAGCTCTCTGGCAGCCCCCTGCGAGGGGGCCGGGCAGGAGCGAAGGGCTGGTGCAGACCCGCGTCCCGGCCCTTCCTTACTCACAGCCTCCGTTTATAGAGGCTGGAAGAGCTTTGGGGTTTTCCACGGGGGACAGATGCCCCTGGCATTTTGGGCAGGACAATTCCTCAAGTGGCCCTACTCCACGCATTGCAGCAGCCCCTCCCACTAAATCACGTGGCAACTCAAAATGACACCGCACATTTCCAAACAGCTCTCGAGCTGCGGGTCCGCCCCTGGGTGAGACCCCCTGAGCTACTGCTCCATCGGGCTCAGGACAGGCTGGCCACATGGCCGCTCCTGAGAGGCAGGTGACACTGAGGGGACGTCTCCGGGGAACAGACTGAGAGAAGAGACAAGGAGGATGGGTCCTCCCCAAGTCCCTGGGCCAACACCAGCACCATACACACCTGGGCTTTTCAAGATGAGATCAACGGAGCTGCCATCTCGCCCAGGGTTGGGGTTCCACAGTCACCTGCAGCCACACGCGTCCCGGCCGTTGCAGGTGAGGAAACAGGCGCAGAGAAGTCAGGTCACTTGCCTGAGGTCCCTTCCCTGGACAGGAGTGAAGCCAGGATTCACACCCAGACTGTCTACACTCTGACCCACTCCAGGTTAAAGCACGAATTTTTCCTATGTCTACTGTCTAAAAAAGGACCACAGAAATATTTCCAGTCTCACGTGTTCTTCTAGAACCTCACACTCCCCTACAGGAGACAGAGAGTCTGTTTCCCCTTTCCTTTGTGGCTGCCTCGATGAATAAAATGGGGTGGAATGACGCTGTTTGGCTTCCAAGTCCAGGTCATCGAAGGTGATGAGGTCTCTCTCTGTCCCTTGGGATGGCTGACCACGGAACCATCCAGCACGCTGGGAGGAAGGCCGGGCCACACAGCGGGGCCGCGTGCAGACGTTCCGGCCGAGGCCCAGGATCTCTGCGGCCCAGTCTGCAGCGTGCACAGCTGGCCGAGTGACCGAGGGAGCCTTCAGGATTCCAGCGGAGGCCACGCACTGGGTCCTGTCTAAATTCTTGACCCATAGAATCTGTAAACAGTTGTTTTCCTCCCTGGAATAGGAGGCTACTGAGAGTCTGGCCTTTGAGCTGGGAGCTGCGGGATGCTTTTGACGAGGGGAGCTGTGTGGCCGGGCGCTGGCCTGAGACCCTTTGCAGAGCAGAGGACCAAAAGGCAGGGAGGCCAAGGAGGAGGCTCCTGCCCCAGCCCAGGCCCGGTGAGGGGGCCTTAGGGCAGCGAGCAGGGATGGGGTGGGGGGAGGGCACAGGATGGCCCAGTTGTCCTGTTATCATCTCGCCGTGGTCCCCAACTTGGCAAGTCATTTTCCTTTTGGAGCTTCACATTTTTACCCATAAAATGAGTGAGAGTGAAAAAAAAGTTTTCTTCCTGCATACATTCTCCCCAGCGGCTAAGGCCCAGCCTGGGCCCCACTTCCCCAGGTCAGCCCCTTTGGGGCAGGGGCTCTCTCTCCTCCCAAAGGCTCTGATCTTGCTCCCAACCCTTTAAACAAGAGCCCTCTTGCACCGATTGTCCTCGCTTTGGTGCATCTTGTTGAGTAATTACCGTTTTATTTACTTGCCAGGCCGTTCCGTCATACAACCGTATCATATGTGTGTATCTCCTTGATCATGCTGCCAGTTCCTCCCTCCTGGTGCACACGTATGAGCGCTTCTGTCGCGTCTCCACCTGGGGCAGGAAGTGCCAGATCACAGGTGTGCTCACCCTTGACCTGACCAGCTGCTGCCTTGGGCCCCTTCCAGGTGTCCTTACCAACCTTCTCCAGAGCCAGTGGTTAAG